TCTTTCTTTCTTTCTTTCATTTTTTTTTTTTTTGAAAAATCCATATCATTATTGCTAGCTAGCAATTGAGGAAAACTACAACATGTATCAACATGCATGTTAAGGGTTTTGATATAGGGTTTTATTGGTTAGTTTGTTTATAAAGTTGTTGGAGATTTTGTTGAAGACTATATTCCTTTGTTGTGTACCATCTCTTATATTCCTTAATAATATATATTTAACTTAATTTACTTATAAAAAAATTCTTTCATTGATAACAAAAAAAAAAAAAAAAAGGAGAACAACTATTTCACATTTAAATTTTGAAACTTTTAACTTAGGGTTTTAAGTTTTTAAAAATTGAGACACTCTTTAAATAGAAAATTTAGATTAACTAACAAATAGCAAGCCATGACCTTTTTCATCCAAATATAGTTGGACAAAAATGTACTTTAATTGGCTTGCGTCATTAATTATATTATTATTATTACTATTATTACTATTTTACATGTATAACAAGAATTCGTCTAATCTTAGACAACAAAATAAAACTTTAGGGTTACATTTGAATTGGTTTGCAGAGATCAGCAAACCAGATAACTACCCTCCTTGAATCAGACACTTTTAACACATGTACATAAGAACTAAAAATCATATGTTACTTTTGGCTTTTTTATTTTTTATGAGAATTGAAATGAAATATGGTAATCAAATTTAGTTGTCAACTTTTTTTATGATGTTATTTAATATGTTTATTTTTATTTTATTCTTATTTTAAAAAATAATTACAACATATATTAAATAAAAAAATTTATTTAAATAGTAATTAATTAAGAATAAATATGAAATTCTATTAATTAATTATTATATTTTTATTTCATTAGGCAAAAAAAGAACTAAACCTACTAAAACTGAATAAACCGAGTAATTAACATCTTTCAAGAAGGTATATATAGTTATAACAAAAGTGCATAAGTGCAAGAGAGTGTAACATTTCCATGAATCTCAACCTAAAAAAAGAGAAAGAAAAAAAAAATATATATATATATATAATTAGAATTTTTAATAAGAACATTTCAGCTGTATATATATATATATATGTATATAGACTATCATGCTATTAATTGATTTTAATATTATATATCGAATAATATGGAGATGAAAGGTCCGGGGGGTTCAGTAAACTGTATTGTTGGATGCATAGTAACAGTAGCTTATTGCGTTATGGGCGGGATTAGCTCTTGTACTTCATTTAGTAAAATATA